TGTAGGAGCAAAATTAGGTAAAACAGAGTGTACCAGTGAGTCCGGAAGGTCGAAAATAGCAAGGAAAGGTATGCTGGACAGAGATGATGTCAGCAATGATGTCAGCGGCGCACGTTAGCAGAGTGCAGGGAGGAACATGTTAGCAGGAAGCGGCGGCGCACGGTAGCGGTCAGGCGCAGGCGTGACGCACGGTAGCTGTTTTGGCACACGCGGGTGCACACTAGTGAAGCGGCGCACGAGAGGCGTACAGTAGCAGGCGCGGCGTACGGGAGCAGCAGGGCTGACGTCAGCTGCGGACGTGTGGGCGCGTGGCGGACGTAAGCAGCAACAGATGGCGCGTGCAGGCGCGTGTGAGAGTGGTGGCGGAAGTGGTGACGTGCCGAGGACAAAGGCGGCGCGTGTGGGCGCGTGGAAGGTTTTCTGAGGACGGGCTTGGTGCCGTTGGAATCGTGAGGAAATTCCGAGCGGTTTGATGTAGTGCCACTGTGTACGGGACTAAACACCAAAATCGAAAATTGCCAGAAATGTAACACTGGGCTCTGATACCATGAAATAATAGTTTGAGAAAGTGAGAGAGAATAGAGAGAGAGAGAGAGAGAGACAATGAATTGTTGTTTGTCTGTAAAAATATGTTGTGTCTTTAACAATGTTAGAAGCTCCTTATATAGGAGAGGATTACAAACCTGAATAGGAAAATGGTCGAAAGTAGCCGAACACTAACTTAAAGTAATGTATAATAAAGACAAGAACTAACCTACTAACATCATTACAAGCACTAATATACACTAACAGCCCCCCTCAAACTCAAGGAGGATAAAAATTAACCAACTTGAGTTTGGAGAGAGTAACAAAATAAAATAGGATATGATACACTGTATGATCGTGTCAGACCGGTAGTGAAAACACTGTATGGTCGTGTCGGACCGTTGTACCAACTAACCGAAATCAATGTCGGGACAGTTTATGAGGTCATGCCGGACCGATGTAGAAGCTAATCGGAATCAATGTCGGGACAGTTTACGGGGTCATGTCAGACCGATGTAGAAGCTAACCGGAATCAATGCCGGGACAGTTTACGGGGTCATACCGGACCGTTGTAGAAGATTGTGGTGGTGCACCAAGGGGGCGACTTAGGGAGTGCGCCATGGGGTTGCTTGGGTGGTTCCCATGGTATATAACCATGCTCATCAGCTTGGGATAACTGGATAGAGAAAGGGAGAGAATAAATTATGTATTGATACTTATTGAATCTATCTTACACAAGGAGAAGCTCACTCTCTTTTATAGAGAAGAGAGTGTTGTACATAGGATGCCAAAAGCACTGAAAGCAGAAACAATAAACATTTTACTTTACATGTATATAATATATGCTAATGTATGACACCTATATATGACACTAACATTAGCATATATAGCTGTCATACATTAGCTGTCATAATATAATGTTAGTGTCATATATAGCTGTCATACATTAGCATATATTATATACATGTAAAGTAAAATGTTTATTGTTTCTGCTTTCAGTGCTTTTGGCATCCTATGTACAACACTCTCCTCTCTATAAAAGAGAGTGAGAGAGACAACTCATGGTATTAAAGTATAGAATAAATTAAGTAATGAAAAAAAAAGTGTTGTTGTTTGTTGGAATAAAAATATATATATACTACTTTATACACCAGTCCTCTAAATACCAAAACAAGGATTTTAATTTAAGCCTCATAGAATAGAATATATTGATGTCTTTGATCATGACAATAATCACTTTCTTAAAATTATTTCACCGATCCGCCTGCGCAAATGGCCAAATGGGTATTGTTCCAAATCCCAATTGGGCCATTGGGTTGAGTTGAATTCAGTTCAATTCAATTGAAATGTTGTTGTTCCAACCATGGCCAAAATGCAGTTTGATCATCAATGCCACAGAACATGTTGGTAAAGCTTTCTTCTTTGACAATGTGATCAATCTTCTCTGGTCTTGAAGAAGAGTTTTGGAAGAGTTGGGCCACACCACTTGGCCTCATAGATGGTGGAAAGAGGGGTCTGCTAGTTGGATGAGTGGAGAGAGGAGGGCTATCAAATTCAATTGCTGGTGTTCTTGACATATCTAGCTTCACATCAGAGCTGTTTTCACTTCTGTTACTGCAGGAACCTTCTGTCTCTTTGTTGAGGTTGATTGACTCAGTTGGCTCTCTACTTCTTAGTGACAATATCTACATTCATATTCAAATTGATGAATTCAACATCAATTATATATAAGCACATAGATTCTCACTGTAGTCAATTGAAAAACAAAGTGGACAAAAATGATTGTTGTAATTATTGCCATGATCCATCTAAAATGATCATGATGAACTAGCCAAAGACATCATAACGGTAGTCATCAGTTATTCAAAGTAATCATTGTTTTTTCTCAATCAGAATCATGAAAACAGTCTCTTTGCATACAGGAATAGATATCTGACCTTTCTCAAATCCGTAGTAGCGGGAGACTCATGCACTGGGCTGCACTTTTATATATCTTAATCCGCGAGAAGATAAAAAAAACAAGAAATACATAGAGAAAGTTGCTTCATTGAGAAATGAGAACTATCATATGTCCAAGAAGGTTTTTAGATGAAGTTTGCTACTTAATCCTTTTTATCTTGATGTAATTTCCTTTCATAAATTAATAAATATTTTCTTTGCCGATAAAATAAAAAGAAAAGAATTAATAGAATTCCCAAGAATACATACACAATTATATACACACACATATAAAAAAAATGTAGGAATCAAATATTCCATAGACATACGAGGATATGCAACCATGATTTAGAATTAGAAACATAATAAACTCAGAAAAAGATATGCATACCTCAGCTTGAAGTTTGTGGTTCTGAGCTTGGAGGGCATCATTATCAGCTTTGATGGCTTCAAACTGTCTCTTAAGGACTTCATAGTCTTTCTCTAATTGCTTGGTCTTCCACCTAGCCCTTCTGTTCTGAAACCATATAGCTATTTGTCTTGGTTGAAGCCCAAGAGCCCTAGCCAACTGCATTTTCCTCTCAGGCTCAAGCTTGTTACCCAACTCAAAGTTCTTCTCAAGTGTCTTCACTTGTTCCATGTTTAGCCTCCTCTTCTTCTCTCCAGCTTGTGACCCATCATCAGAAAAATCATCATCCCCATTAGTTTCTTGATCACACATGTCAATACCCGAGAATGTCATGGATCTCTTCCCTAGAAGTGAACCAACACCTGCACCACCACCATAATTAAACATTTTTGAAATCCCATTTTGAGAGAGAGAGAGAGAGAGAGAGAGAGAGAGAGTACCATGGAAGTCTTGAGATGTGCATAGTGGTAGAATTGGGCTAAGAGAGGTAGGAGGTTGATGGTCATCTTCATGAGAATTTTGTAGCATGAAATTGGCTGGGAAGAAGGCCATTTCAATGCAGTTCATGACCTAGATAGACTAGTACACCATCTAAACAACAGTGGTGCTGATGATCTGTCTGTCATGAGAGAGAGAGAGAGAGAGAGAGAGAGTACATTTAGAGGACAAAGATGGAGCAGACATTCATCATGATCAAACCTGATGGTGTCCAAAGAGGCCTGGTTGGTGAGATTATTAGCAGATTTGAGAAGAAAGGTTTCTCTTTGAAAGGTTTGAAGCTCAGGTTGAGCTCATAGCTCTTCTCTGCGAAGACGAGGATGACGAGACACGTGGCCCGGGTCCGATCGTCCATCTGAGTTCGTCGGAAGGCGTGTTGGCTCGCGACCGGCGGAGCGGACACCACAGGAGGTGTGGCCGGAGATGGACCTCCAACGACGGTGCCTGGAGACCACAGGCTGTGAGCAAGCAGCGGTACAGTGGCGGAAATGGTTCTGCGGACCAGGCCAGTCGAAACCTTGTGGACGATTGTTGTCTGGTTGTAGTTCTGATGGATGAGTTTGTGTTTGCCCGAAAAATGGTGCCGACTGTGCCTGTATAATTGGCCTGGGAGGTTGTTGTTGGTCCCGAGGCTGTGATCGACGAGCAGTAGACTCTGAAGCTGTCGACTGTTTGGCACTGACAGCCTCCAACTCATTTCCATCTTCTTTCTCTGTGTTTGGTTGAAGAAGGTCAGCATGGGTGTGCGACGGAATGTCCTAGAGGGATTTTGGGTTTGGGTTTGGGTTTGCTTCGGCGAGGTGGTGAAGAAGAGTGAAGGTATGTGTAGACAATTTGAGCGGACTAGGTTGAGGTCCGGCGGGCGGCCAAGGCGAGGTTGCCGCCCGCCGGTGAAGCGAAAAATACTAAATTTTTAACCTTGCTCTGATACCATGTTAAAAAACAAACTGATGTATATTATTGATTGATGTATTGTTACAAGATTGATTGATTTGTGTTATGTATTACAACTCCTATATATAGAAGAGAAGGTGGTAGTAGGTGTAGTGTAGTGGAGGTGGTAGGTGAAGTGGGTGCTAGTGGAGATGGTAGGTGGAGGAGTAAATTGGTAAATTCTAACAGTTTCTATTTGCTTTGTGAGGGTTTGGTTGTAAAGGAATGACGTATCTTTCTGGGTTCACTTCTCACAGTTAAACGTTTGGTTTATTTTTTATCTTTAGCTTTTTATTTTTCCTTTTTTTGGACAAACAGATCCATAATAAACAATTTTTGTTCGAGTTAAATTCAAGTTTTCCTTCTAGTCAAGTTCACAGCACAACAAAACAAGATGAGTGTTTCTTTGGGTGGAAAATCATCTACATGTTAAACTAAATCTACCACTCATGTGTATTGCTAATGCAAGTGCCCGTAATGTACAGGTGGTTATGGAGAAGATAGTGGAATTTGACTTGTTGAAGCATGCCAATAAACCTTCATTTTCTCTTAGTGGGGGCAACAAGCGCAAATTGTCTGTTGCAATTGCAATGATTGGAGATCCTCCAATAGTCATTCTTGATGAGCCATCCACAGGTGATTACTCTAATCTTCGTTCATGTATAAAATATTGGTTCCCTTTTTGGACTACAGTGAATCTGCACATGTAACACCAAGTAAAGAATGACTTGTTCAATTTTATGTTTCTAACTAACAATGTTCTGCATCATACTCTGCATAAAAGCTGTAACTTAATGTGTATATTTAGATTCATAGTCATAATATTGTCTCCCCTTGAAAGGAGGTGATCTTGCCACACCTTCCAGTGAAGCTTCCACTGACAGCTTCAGTCCCCTCTCTCTCTCTCTTTCTCACACACACACACACACACACACACACACACTATTGTTCCCCTGCAAGTGTTATTTTTGTGCCATAAAGGAGATTGACCAATAATTGACAAATGTATTCTTGGATTATTTGTTTGAATAAATGAATCCAAATATTGACAAATGTGCTTTTAAAGTGTATGTTTTAAATCTTTTAGTTAAAAAATAGTTACTCACCTCATACGTACTATTGCCTGAGACAATAAGTACTTCCATCTTCTTTTCACCGGAGTGCGCTATACCTGAGGACATGCATACTTAACTTCTAAGTTCTCAATTATGTCGTTCATTTAATTATTTTTAGGTATGGATCCTATTGCCAAACGATTTATGTGGGAAGTAATATCCCGGCTATCAACCAGACGAGGAAAGACTGCAGTTATTCTAACTACTCACAGCATGAATGAAGCTCAAGCACTATGCACCCGGATCGGAATAATGGTATCATTTGGTGGCATTTGCTTGATGCTGGAAGTCTGGAATATTTAAACATAAAACTTTAATTTGAAAATTGTTCTTCCTCTTTTGTATGTGAAGGTTGGAGGCCAGTTAAGATGCATTGGAAGTCCTCAACATCTGAAAACACGTTTTGGGAATCATCTTGAGCTTGAGGTATTTCACAACTATTATCAGCATTATATATGAGAACAACTAGGTCATGTTTTTTGTTCCCTGTTTTCAGGTTAAACCAACTGAAGTTAGCTCAATGGATCTGGAAAATTTGTGCCGGTTGATTCAAGAAAGGCTGTTTGACATTCCTTCTCATCCAAGGAGCTTACTCAGTGACCTTGAAGTTTGCATAGGGGGCACTGACTCCATAACATCAGAAAATGCATCAGTGGCAGAGATTAGCTTGACAGAGGATATGATAGTCATAATTGGGCAATGGCTTGGCAATGAAGAAAGGATAAAGATACTTTTATCTTCAACAGACCTTTCTGCTGGGGTTTTTGGTGAGCAATTATCGGAGCAGTTGGTCCGCGATGGTATGCCAATCCTTAGCTGCTTTTTGTTCTTGTTCTTCATTGCAAATTTACTCTCATGGAAATTATTTTTTTGAACCTGCTACATTTTTACTTTCACACAAACAAAGGACTGTTCTTTTAGTGCTTCCTTCTGTATGCCTATCCTAGATATTTAATTCACTGATGAGTTGGGTATCTTAGGATCAAGGCATCTAGTTCTTGGCATATGAATGGATTTCCGATGCATTTTTCAAACTGTTCAATGCTGCCGGACATGCAGGGTTATACTTAGATAAAATACAACTCAACATGCCTGTGTCCCAATTACTTACTATGTCCTCAATTGAGGCAACATGGAACCTTTTCTTCTAGTTGCGTCTACCAAAAGCCATTTCCTTAGTTAAGTCTATGGCAATCAAGTCCTTTCTTACCACTTCAATGCAATGCGACTCACGACCCTCAAAACATTTGATCATTTGGGCTGCAACAACAGCAGAGGCTGTTGGGGTTCAGGTCATGATGCCTCTTCTGCATAGAAGAAAAGGATGGATAGACCCCTTTTACTCTCTGTCATCACTTAAGCTACCATCTTGTGCTTGATCGTCAAAAGAAGGCCTTTCTATTAAGTATTATCTCAAGGTCAAACTCATCTTCTCCATCTGACCCTTCCCATGCCTGCCATTGTAGAACATTTAACCACCCAATGCACCTTTCTATCATTGATCACATGTTAAGGGGCACCAATTGCTATCATGCTCTTGGGAGTTTTAACTGGTGTCTTCATCGTTGGTTCATCTTCAGAAAATTGGATTCTCTCTTCTAATTAGAGAAATTCCTCTACCTAGCCTGCCAAAAGCAAAGCGGTGGACTGAAACTTCTTCTTGTTAACAGTTAACAACCAGCTACTTTTGAGCTTCAAAATTATTTATACATACTAGTGTCACCTAAGGAATTATGGTATACTTCAATCTTACCCTGAGATTCTAGTCATGGAGATAAAGGGACCTCTCAAGGTGACAACTGGACTTAAGGAATTACAGATAGTATTTCATTATGATTGGTAGTATTTCATGACAGATACTGTTTTCTTTGAATTGTTTCCCAATTTTGGGTTATTTGGTTACTTTACAGTGTCAAAGATATTCCAATGTTATGTTTAGGAGATTAACATGTAAAACTTTAATAAGTTCTATTGTGGCCATGAATTTGTTGCATTTTCACAAGAATACACAAGTTATGTGATCCTTACTTGACTTCTCCCGTCAGTCTAGCAAACTGATACTCATTAAGTATCTTGCTTTTCTTATTGTGATTATTAATGTTCTTTCCTATTTTTCCTTGGTTGTTCTTTTATCTATTTTTTTCATTTTTGAAATTTTAATATCCATATATTGTGGTCCATGGACTTGGTTATGTTTTTCTATATTGTGACTAGTATAAACTGTTTATTTTTTTTAGATATTCTTCATTAATTAATCTTTTATTTAATTCTAATATTGCAAATGTAATTTATGATTGGTTTTTTTATAGGTGGTATCCCATTGCCAATATTTTCTGAGTGGTGGTTAGCCAAAGAAAAGTTCTCTACAATTGAAGCATTTATTATATCTTTATTTCCTGGAGCAACTTGTCAAGGTTGCAATGGGTTGAGCATTAAATATCAGGTAAACCCATGTGAAGCATTGGAATACTTGTTGCATTTTGATATAGTCCTTGCACAAAGGATAAGGAGGGTTACTATATGTTCTACTTTAACCACATGGCTTCTTTAATCCCTGTAGTAATTGATCCCAAAATTATTGAATTGAGCTTTGTATGATATGAGTTGAAAATGGAATTATATATGTATGTATGGTAGAGTTGGTGTTCTGGACTACACAAACAGATTAGAGTGTTTCATCTCCTATATGCATGTTATTCCCTTTTTTTTTCACCTTCTGTTCTTTTAGCATAATGAAGAAATTATTCATTATCATAGGCTGCACTTAGAGATACAAAACAAACAAAAGATGGGGTAGACAAGGAAATTGTTTCCCTCCGGTCTGAACTTAAGGTAAAGAATGCTTCCACACAGCCATTATTAGTTATATTTTATTTGTTTCTATACTTACTTTAAAGGGTCTTACACTAGTGCTGAACATTGTAAAATTATATGCTTTGATATTTTGCTTGAATCAGAAAGTGAAAATTGAGGCTACAGCTGCCGTAGACCAACTTCAGGGAACTGAATCTGAAGTTAGAGGTCTTCGTTCAATGACACAAAGGATGGTTTTAACCCAGAGTGAAATGTTATGTACTTGCATTGTTGCTTGGAACCTAATCCTATCATATTTTCTGTATATATTAATTGCACTAGCATATCACATTGCAGGAGAAAGTTGTTCTTAAGCGGTGTTGGCTTGCACATTATTGGGGTTTAACTGCACAGCATGGTAATCAGCATGTTACAGCTCTGTTTTACTTCATTATTTAAAAGCAAAAGTTCATTTTCGTACTCTTTTCTTTGTTCATTCATTCATATTTACTCACCCTAAGTAGTTGAGATCAAAGCAAGTGGAGTTCTTATGTTATGTTATGCTGTGTATTTTAACCCAGATTGTGACTTAATTTACATGATTTAGTCATGTATGGATAGCCTTTTTATATCTTTAAATCTTATCTCTCAAAACATGCCATAAAAAGCTTCAAATTTTCCGGACTCTAGGTAGTTGCAAAGTACCCTTATTTTGTTCAAATTCTCCATGTACTAATACCCATGAACTTTATGATACTTGGGGTATCAATGATATTCACACTTGGGTGTTCCATTTACTCCAACTATCTATATGTGTCTTTTCATTTTTTTTTCTTTCAATTATCTGAATTAACAAGGTCATGTTGATCCTGTTTGTTTTTTATTTGTTTTAGCTTGATTGATGAATTTTTCTCATAGTTTTTTCCTCACAAATCATATTTTATTTAATCACAATGGTTCTTTGTTCTTTAGGTATCTATGCAGATATTACAGTGTCAAAACATAAGTACTGGTCATCTTTAGCACCTCTTCCTTTCGAAGTTGTTGGTTCTGCAGGGCAAAAGGCTAAAGAGGGATGCTGGGATAAAGGTTAATGTCATTGTCTTTTCACTGCAGCAAATATTATGATTCTTATTATTTGTTTGATAAGGACTATATTTTCTTTATTATATCATCTCTTTCAATCACATTTGAAGCCTTTGTATCTACAATACTGAGCTGGTGATGAGAATCTTGAGAGGAGCAAACTAGTTCAGGACTCGAACGATCTTATTGGAGAAGGAAATATAGAGAGTATACTTTCTGTTGAAATGGGCTTGAAGGAGCTTGCATCATTGAAGTTTTCCTTTTGAAGTATAAGATCAAATTTTGTTTCACTTTCATCCTTTACTCTTAGTGCTCTTCAATAATTTTGGTTCTTCAAACCAGGCCACTTGTTTTTTAGTTGTGTTTATGATATTATAGTATTTTATTTCTTGGAATTGTCGCCATACCTACTCACACGTTCTATGGTTGTTCTTTCCAAGGTTGAGGATGCCATTGTGCTTGCATTGGCACAACAGTAGCATGCAAATGTTGTTCGACTATCTGGCTCAGTTTTGTCTTATGCATGATGCTGATGTGCTTGATGGCTGATACTTGCTTTAATTGATTAACTGCCTAACAATTTCTGGTTTCTATTTGAAACCACTACTGGTTGCCCAGGTTTTATGAATATAAGTCCTCTCTTAAGTGAGGCGCCGAAAAGTCATCATTATTCCATATAGACTTTTGTGTTGCATGGTTCAGATAATTCATGGTTTCAGTTGTTCTTGACTGAGGTTGCCCTTTTGTCAGAATTGGTGTCCAAATCAGCAGCCTCTTACCAGTCTCATTTTCATGTTGTGCATAATGTATTTTTATCATTTGAGCATGTTAACCAATCCCAAAAGGTTGGGACTATGGCTTTATTAACATGAATTCGGGGTTAGAGCCGGATTTCACTATAGACAAACTAATTTCTTAAGAAACTTAGAATTCGGGGTGTTAACGTCCCAAAATCACCAAACGGAGTTGGAGTAGCACAAAACTTGGCACATATGACTGCCTAGGCACGAGAGACTTGTGGGAGAAGACGGGACTCAAATCGGGTTCTCGGTTTGGGAGTTAGAGCTAGATTTAACTCTAGACAAACTAATTTCTTAAGAAACTTAGAATTCGAGGTGTTAATGACCCAAAATACCAAACGGCGTCGGAGTAGCACAAAACTTGGCACACACCACTGCCTAGGCACAAGAGACTTTTGGGAGAAGATGGGACTCGAATCAGGTTCTCGATTTGCGAGTTAGAGCCGGATTTCACTTTAGGCAAACTAGTTTCTTAAGAAACTTAGAATTCGAGATGTTAACGCCCCAAAATCACCAAACGGCGTCGGAGTAGCACGAAACTTGGCACACATGACTACCTAGGCACGAGAGACTTGTGGGAGAAGACATGACTCAAATCGGGTTCCCGGTTTGGGAGTTAGACCTTGATTTCACTTTAGACAAACTACTTTCTTAAGAAACTTAGAATTCGAGGTGTTAATGCCCTAAAATCACCAAACGGCGTTGGAGTAGCACGAAACTTGGCACACACAACCGCCTAGGCATGAGAGACTTGTGGAAGAAGACGGGCCTCAAATCGGATTCCCAGTTTGGGAGTTAGAGCCGAATTTCACTCTAGACATACTAGTTTCTTAAGAAACTTAGAATTCAAGGTGTTGATGCCCCAAAATAGCCAAACGACATCAAAGTAGCACGAAACTCAGCACACACGACCGCCTAGGCACGAGAGACTTGTGGGAAAGGACGGGACTCAAATCGGATTCCCGGTTTGGGAGTTAGAGCCGGATTTCACTCTAGACAAACTAGTTGAAACTTAGAATTCGAGGTGTTGATGTCCCAAAATCACCAAACGGTGTCGGAGTAGCACAAAACTTGGCACACACGATTGCCTAGGCACGAGAGACTTATGGGAGAAGACGGGACTGGATTCGGGTTCCCGGTTTGGGAGTTAGAGCCGGATTTCACTCTAGACAAACTAGTTGAAACTTAGAATTCAAGATGTTGACACCCAAAAATCACCAAACGGCGTCGGAGTAGCACGAAACTTGGCACACACGACCGCCTAGGCATGAGAGACTTATGGGAGAACACGGGACTTGAATCGGATTCCCAGTTGGGAGTTAGAGCTAGATTTCACTCTAGACAAATTAGTTTCTTAAGAAACTTAGAATTAGAGGTATTAACGTCCCAAAATCACCAAACAATGTCGGAGTAGCACGAAACTTGGCACACACGACTGCCTAGGCATGAGAGACTTGTGGGAGAAGACGAGACTCAAATCGGATTCCCGGTTTAGGAGTTAGAGCCTGATTTCACTCTAGACAAATTAGTTTTTTAAGAAACTTAGAATTCGAGGTGTTGACACCCCAAAATCACCAAACAGCATTGAAGTAGCACGAAACTTGGCACACACGACCGCCTAGGCGTGAGAGACTTGTGGGAGAAGACGGGATTCAAATCGGGTTCTTGATTTGGGAGTTAGAGCGGAATTTCACGCTAGACAAACTAGTTCCTTAAGAAGTTTAGCATTCGAGGTGTTGACGCCTGAAAATCACCAAACGATGTTGGATTAGCATGAAACTTGGCACACACAACCACCTAGGCACGAGAGACTTGTGGAAGAAGACGAGACTCGAATTGCGTTCTCGGTTTGGGAGTTAGAGTCAGATTTCGGTCTAGGCAAAATTATTTACTTAATTATCTTTATAATTATATAGTAGTTAAATTTTTATATTTTTTTGTAATTAACATATTAACATATAATTATATTGTCACTAATTATTTTTATTTTTTGTTTTCAGATATTTCCCAAGTAGGAGTTTGCTTCTTGTGGAATGCATGCCTGTGAAAAATACGGCTAACTTTTGTTTTTGTTACCCACGGAGAATGATAAGAAAATTTTTTAATTTTAGTTTATGTTATTTTGAATTATGAAAAACTATATGTATTTAAACATTATACGTGTATTATGAAACATTATGAAGTGAGGTAATTTTGTTGATATGTAATTATAGATGCAAGAATGTTTTTGTCACGCCCTACTTTTTATTACTCGAAGTCGTTACCAAATCCATTAACTTAATTCAATTTCAAGGATAACATGCGGAAATAAACTCATACATTCAATCTGTAGAAGTGATTAACATTCTCTCATTCGTATGCAAAGTAAATATTACATGAACATACTTAATAAATTGCCCTTGGGCTTACATCACTTAAGGTACAAGAAGAAGGGTGTAACCCTTTCACAACAATGGCATTCCGCCAACATAACTGAGGCCCCGTGGCCAGTAATTAAGTAGATCCAAATCTTGCAGCCCAACCTGCTTAATACCTGAAAAGAATTCAACAACGTGGGATGAACATATAGTCCAGTAGGGAACTCAACATGATCCTCAACAATAACAACTTACAGATAGCTATGATCATGAACACCCATTCTCATACTAGAATAGTAATGTGACAATTTATACAAAAATAACATAAGTAAGAACATTTCTTGAAAACAACCATTTCAATCAACGCCATAGGCGATTCATCTTTCCTTTTCTTTTCATTAATCCCCGTTCCCACTCTTTCATAACATTAACAATACCTTAGGAAATAATTTCACTAAGCCCACCACACTCTTCCATTTTCCAAATATACACAGATATGCTTTTCAAAGTATATGTTTCTTTAAAAAGTCCGTTCTCCTTCACACTTTCCAAAAGACAAATATGACATTTTGGCTTTTTCCCGATACAATCAACTCTATACAAGCACTGTTAAAAAAAAGGAATAACAACTCACCAACGTGCATAAGATAAACCAATGAGGCAACTCGGCCCTCCAGAACCATAATCAACACAATCCATGATATTCCCTAAACACACTGAAATATCAACAACAAAACTTTGCTCTACTAGCCATGTGCATAGTAAGCCAAAGATACACCTCTTCACAACAACATACCAGTTTACCAGGCGCTAGCTGGAAGGGTGTGGTACCTTAGATTCTCAGCGCAGTCAGTTTACCAGGCGCTAGCTGGAAGGGTGTGGTACCTTAGATTCTCAGCGCAGTCAGTTTACCAGGCGCTAGCTGGAAGGGTGTGGTACCTTAGATTCTCAGCGCAGTCAGTTTACCAGGCGCTAGCTGGAAGGGTGTGGTACCTTAGATTCTCAGCGCAGTCAGTTTACCAGGCGCTAGCTGGAAGGGTGTGGTACCTTAGATTCTCAGCGCAGTCAGTTTACCAGGCGCTAGCTGGAAGGGTGTGGTACCTTAGATTCTCAGCGCAGTCAGTTTACCAGGCGCTAGCTGGAAGGGTGTGGTACCTTAGATTCTCAGCGCAGTCAGTTTACCAGGCGCTAGCTGGAAGGGTGTGGTACCTTAGATTCTCAGCGCAGTCAGTTTACCAGGCGCTAGCTGGAAGGGTGTGGTACCTTAGATTCTCAGCGCAGTCAGTTTACCAGGCGCTAGCTGGAAGGGTGTGGTACCTTAGATTCTCAGCGCAGTCAGTTTACCAGGCGCTAGCTGGAAGGGTGTGGTACCTTAGATTCTCAGCGCAGTCAGTTTACCAGGCGCTAGCTGGAAGGGTGTGGTACCTTAGATTCTCAGCGCAGTCAGTTTACCAGGCGCTAGCTGGAAGGGTGTGGTACCTTAGATTCTCAGCGCAGTCAGTTTACCAGGCGCTAGCTGGAAGGGTGTGGTACCTTAGATTCTCAGCGCAGTCAGTTTACCAGGCGCTAGCTGGAAGGGTGTGGTACCTTAGATTCTCAGCGCAGTCAGTTTACCAGGCGCTAGCTGGAAGGGTGTGGTACCTTAGATTCTCAGCGCAGTCAGTTTACCAGGCGCTAGCTGGAAGGGTGTGGTACCTTAGATTCTCAGCGCAGTCAGTTTACCAGGCGCTAGCTGGAAGGGTGTGGTACCTTAGATTCTCAGCGCAGTCAGTTTACCAGGCGCTAGCTGGAAGGGTGTGGTACCTTAGATTCTCAGCGCAGTCAGTTTACCAGGCGCTAGCTGGAAGGGTGTGGTACCTTAGATTCTCAGCGCAGTCAGTTTACCAGGCGCTAGCTGGAAGGGTGTGGTACCTTAGATTCTCAGCGCAGTCAGTTTACCAGGCGCTAGCTGGAAGGGTGTGGTACCTTAGATTCTCAGCGCAGTCAGTTTACCAGGCGCTAGCTGGAAGGGTGTGGTACCTTAGATTCTCAGCGCAGTCAGTTTACCAGGCGCTAGCTGGAAGGGTGTGGTACCTTAGATTCTCAGCGCAGTCAGTTTACCAGGCGCTAGCTGGAAGGGTGTGGTACCTTAGATTCTCAGCGCAGTCAGTTTACCAGGCGCTAGCTGGAAGGGTGTGGTACCTTAGATTCTCAGCGCAGTCAGTTTACCAGGCGCTAGCTGGAAGGGTGTGGTACCTTAGATTCTCAGCGCAGTCAGTTTACCAGGCGCTAGCTGGAAGGGTGTGGTACCTTAGATTCTCAGCGCAGTCAGTTTACCAGGCGCTAGCTGGAAGGGTGTGGTACCTTAGATTCTCAGCGCAGTCAGTTTACCAGGCGCTAGCTGGAAGGGTGTGGTACCTTAGATTCTCAGCGCAGTCAGTTTACCAGGCGCTAGCTGGAAGGGTGTGGTACCTTAGATTCTCAGCGCAGTCAGTTTACCAGGCGCTAGCTGGAAGGGTGTGGTACCTTAGATTCTCAGCGCAGTCAGTTTACCAGGCGCTAGCTGGAAGGGTGTGGTACCTTAGATTCTCAGCGCAGTCAGTTTACCAGGCGCTAGCTGGAAGGGTGTGGTACCTTAGATTCTCAGCGCAGTCAGTTTACCAGGCGCTAGCTGGAAGGGTGTGGTACCTTAGATTCTCAGCGCAGTCAGTTTACCAGGCGCTAGCTGGAAGGGTGTGGTACCTTAGATTCTCAGCGCAGTCAGTTTACCAGGCGCTAGCTGGAAGGGTGTGGTACCTTAGATTCTCAGCGCAGTCAGTTTACCAGGCGCTAGCTGGAAGGGTGTGGTACCTTAGATTC